ATATACAGACAGACAAATGGTATTTTCTTTTAGTAAAAAATTTGAAAGAACATTACTTTAACACATAGTGTCACCTTTGATCTGTTAGAGCAAGCAGCTACTCCAACTTCAGGTATCCATACTGCAGTCTGAATAGCTCCAGAACCTATCACAACACTCTGTAATACTGAACCATCCTAAGGAAAGAAGGGTTTTGAGTCAGTGTGTATACACAGACACTTTTCTGTTTAAATGCATACAATCACATTCCTAAGGGATGATATTCTCCCAAGCTCTTCAATAACTATTTAAAAACTGCAATGTTTATACTAAAAGCAAAAAAATGTCTAGTGTTTTTATCATAGTAAGGAGATAACATAACTAAGGATTTAGAAGTGTTTAATAATCCACATTATCTGACTCTTGGAAAAGTTCTCAAAGTAAGAGAATATTGTTCCCAACTATAAAGAGAGAGTGGCTGGTTCTGCAAAGCCTAAATAACACAACCAGGCCTACAGCATGAATCAATAGTAGACCCATAAAATATAAAATACTTCAATGTTAAGTACAATTTCAATTTATATTTTATTATTTATAATTTTATACCATGCTTTCTCTAATGTTTCTAACATACTGGAGGAGCGGGGGGGAGGAAGAAAGCTAGTCTGATACCTTGGCCATTTTAGATATTCATACTAAAAAAAGAATCATGCCACTTCAAAGATGATCTTACCCGTAAAGACCAAATATTCATGAGACCACCAAGTCCACCAGATACTAATGCCAGTCCATCAGGACTGAATGCAACAGTACGAACAGGAGTAATATGTCCTCTCAGTTGAAATACACACTTGACTTCTACTGCTTTTCTGTATCCATCCTGCAAATTATTTCATAGTTATGGAACACTGTGAAGTATTTACAGAGAACTGAATAGCATAACAGCTTCTGTATTCTGCAATAAATACTGATCATCTGTAGAGATGGGGTAATTTCCGTAAGATAATAAAAAACACCAATACTATGATCATATTTTATTTATATCTTTATCACATTATCTTTTTCTCTCCTTACAAAATGCCATCAACATTAAAGACCACATTACAATTTATGTAGGTGAAATTAATCTTGACTTAATTTTATCTAGAAAAAATTTTGAACTCTTATTATAGTATAAATTTATTAACTTTAAAAAAATTGAAACAGATCAAATTATAATCTTTAGCCAAATAAAATTCATTTAAACATCTGATTTTTCATTTCCTGTTCTGAAGTTGTCTACACATATACAAATGCAATATAAACTTTTTAGCAAATGTCTTCTCTCAGGAAATGTTGAGATTCAAGTAACTTGCTCACACTCTTCTCCTCCCCCAATTTTGGAACGAACAAAGAGAATTTCTTAAACACCAAGTTTATTCCTTTTACCTTGGCACTTGTTTCTTGGTCCCACCATCCTTCTGAGCAAGTTGAGCTGGACTGCAATGTGATTACTATGTCCTGGGGAACAGTCCAAACACACACCAAACCATTGTGGCATCCTCTGAAGGAAGTCAGGATAAATCAGAAAAACAAAGTAAAGGTATTAACTAACAAAATACCAGTGGTGTGGTATTAACTTAAGGTATCAGTAGTCTTCACCACCTTCCTGTAAATCTATATTGTATCGATTAATCTAAAGTAAAGTGGAAAGGCATGTTCCCAATGGATAAATGCATTTTTTCCTATTCCCCCCTCACCCCTTAGCTTTTCAACTTTTACTAACACTGCATTCTCAGAAAAAATACTTGGATGAAACAAGAAAATTTCAAGCAGGACCACCATACACAAGTCTCATGGCATGGAGAAAACAGCTGGTAACACGACCAGAGCTACTCTTTCCATTTGAATTCTGAAGTGTTACAGATCTCATGACAACCGGCTTACTGAATTACCGTTATTGAAAAAAAGAGACAAAACTTTTCTTTGCTCTGGACACTAAAGACTGGTAGAAAAGACCTGCAAAAGAGCTATAAAAACAATTTAGAAAATTACATACGTAGCTAATAAAAGCTGCAAATTGGGTTCTTTCCCTGGAAGAGCACACCAGGAGATGCCATTCACAAGAGCTGGATGGGACAGCGAATGCAGACGTCTCCAACATCCTCCCATATATCCCCAGAGTTTCACTGTTTCTTCTTTGGCACACGTCAGGAGGATCTTACCAGTTGGATCCCACTTCATACTAACAAGCATATCCTATTGGATTTAAAAAAATTAAAAGTTTATATGAAGTAACACAGTAAGAGCAGGGAAAATTTAACTTTCAGAGTTAATGTAATGTTTAATTATTAATAATAAAGAACATTTTATTCTCAAATTAATCATTACAGAGACAGTGAGTTGCAATTATGAAATCGTAATGATACTTTTCAGAACTATCAAATTAAAATAAAATACTAGGTTCCTGAGAGAAACTAAAAGGAAAGCATAGAATAAAAAATGTTCTCTCTTCATTGCACATGTTTCTTGATCCCCCCCCAAGAAGCAGACAATTTTTCCTTCTTTTTATATATTATGAAATTGTAGTATGAATTACCTTAATGACGATATGTTCACAGACATATTAGGCAATGAGCCAGGTGCAGGTTTGTGTCTAACTGAGGTAGGAAAGGACAACACCCCATTGTGGAAAAGGCAAGTATAGTTTTATTGTCACAGCATGCTCACTTCTGTGACTACCATGCTTCAAATACCAAGACCAGTTCATGGAAGCACTCAAGATGCTTTTACTACACCCACACTTGAGGAATTCTCCTCTTAGCCTAACAAATCATTTATGGACTATTAATGGCTTATTATTACATACTAGCCAAGTGAAGGATCTAAACCTTTGTGGCTGCATATTTAGAAAACATGTTTTGCTTTGCACAGGAACTTAAGCTTTACAAAAACACATGACATAACCAAAATTAAAATTTATTATGAGCACTTTTACAAAATAAAAGAACTACAGTCTTTTAAATCCAAACATGCATAGCTGCGTCCTTAATACACTTCTGTCACTGTATGCACATACACTTCACAATCTCTACTAGCAAAAAGACTATAAAATTTATTTTTCCTTTTTTTTTAAAAAAAAATTTGTTAGACTGTTCCTTTAAAATATATTGTGTTTAATATGCGTATCAGAAATAGGTACGTGTTCTTAGAATAATCTGCACTTGACTTTATAAATAGCTTTCAAATACAGAAACTAGCTTAAACAGATCCTTACCTACAAAACTTATGCATTAGTTTTAAAAAGACTGACTCTACCTTATGTGCATCCACTAGAGCAACTCCTCCTTTTTCAAGTGGTTCCTTTGTTCCTATTAGCAATTTTCCATCCGAATAGCCAACTGCAAATGGTCTGTCTTCACTGAACCAGGCAAGGCATGTGACATACACTACAAAAACAGACAACACAAAAATTAGTTAAACGAAATTGAACTTCACTCCTGCCAAAGAGGTTTTTGCAGTGCAACACTGTCTACAGTATGAAGTACATAACAACTTCCCACATCACAAAGGATACTTAACATACTTCTGGTCTGAAAATTTTCTTGAATTTGTATGGTAAAGTTAAAACTGAGAGCCACTGTAATGACAGCTGTTGCAATTATTTTGTAATAGTTTTTTCATTCTTCCTCTTTTTATTAAAATAATTGAATTTATATTCCTGACATGGGAATGCAAGGGAAAAGAAAAAAAGCAGACTCAATCCTATACATGTATCTGAGACAGGGATGCTTCTAAGAAAAGCACTGAAAACAGCTGGAGCCTTTCTTAGCACATAGATATTGCCTCACTTGATTCTGCCAAAAAATCTGCAAATTTCCTGAAGAAGCAATATGCAAAACCACACAATGCTACCAAAGATGTGCTACTTCATGTCCCCTGGGACTGGAACTGGAACTACAAAGGAAAAATGGCAATAATTCAGTAATTCAAATGACACTGACTACAAGCTATCTATAGGCAGAGCAAACACTGCAGGGAATCTATATTGATTTTATATGATGGCAAGGAATGTCAGGATTTGACTAGGGTGCTACAAACTGTTTGCCTCTGCTGTAGGGGAATCACGGTGCAAATGGGTATCCCACTGACTTTTCTCCTCTTATGAATGTAAGTGAATGATGCTTGCAGGTAAACTACCAGAAGTCATATCCCATGAACAATAATAAAAAAATTGAGATTATATACTTGCTTAATAAAAAGAAAAGGGCGGGGGGGAGAGGGATTAATAATTTTAATTTCTACTTAAATACTGATACAGTCACCTACCATCCTTTCTGTAGCAGTGTTCCAGTTCTAGCCGGTGCATGGTTGAAATATCTACAACTTCAATAAGACCAAGAGATCCATCCATACGACCAATTAATAATAATTCTGGAGCATCTCCTGTCCATGCTGCAGCTGGCCCTTCTTCTGGCCAAGTTAGAGCAGATACCCAGTGAGGCTGAAGATCTAATAATCCCTTTCCTCCTAGGAGCCCAAAAAGTCTTTTAAAACTACTTCATCTTCATAAAGAAAAGAAAACAACAAAAATACTTTCCATGGGAAAATATCAAGAGATCCCATTTAGAGCTAGGACATACTACAAATTCATGTAAGTTACAAGCCTACGAAGCAATGGTCCACTAATCTACGCAGACATAAAATCTAGCTAACAAATCTCAATTGTCAGTCAAGTTACATAGTTTTGTTAAGGAAGGAAGCTACATTCTTCAGTACTCAGTAAATTTATACTTTTTCTGTAGACTGCCTATTACGCTGCCTGTGGGCAGTGTAACCGGTGATTTTCCTAAACACAAAACAACAGAATGAAGTTTCAGAGATTACAAATCACAAAGTAATTAACAGTCTTCCTCGCACAAGAGTTCTAAAGGTATTATGCTGGATTAGTCAATTGCAGCACAAATGACAGTAAAAATGTAAGAGAACCCACTTAAAGATGTTCACAAACTGAACCAAGCAACGGGAAAGGGCCTTTCCTGGATCAGGTTCAGTCATTTCTATCACAATGCAATCTCATAAATTTAGCTAATTCATTTTATAGTATTTCTTCCCCAGGTGTCACTCCTCCTTACAAAATATGAGATCACAATCTGTTAAATATTAGAAACTTTATTGAAGTTATTCATGGCCAATTTATTTACATTTCTCCTTGCATCAACATTACCCATTTGCTTACATAGCTGCTTTTTCTCCCTGGGCTTCTCCTAGAGTTTATCTTCCTAATGTATTTATTTATAAGCTTCCTCCTCCAAGACTCTTTTGTTCAAATAAATAAACCAAGCTCACTCATTCTACTCTCATTAGAAGGCATTTCATCTAGCTGATCACTCTAGCAATCCTTCCCTCCATCTGTTTCAGTCAATTTTCGCATTTTCCCTGTAGCACATAGAGAGGTAATCCTTACAGGCTATAAGAAGATAGTATTTACAGACAAAAATTGCTAAGAGTGATCAAACCTCACACCTAAACACTTCTGATTCAACAAGGACTCATATGCTGCTCAGTTTTCTACTGAATTAATTGTAAATCACACATCCATTTGTGGTTAGTGCCTTCCTCTAATTAAATAGGTTTACAAGATCTTATGGAAGATGGTAGGCATTTAAAATGGAGAGCACAGTTAAATACTTTGGTAAACAAATATTCAATAACTTAGCAGCTTTCCTAGAAATACATTGTATCATAAAGTGGCACAGGTAGCTAAGAGCATACCATTGACTTGCCATATGTTCACCATCTTTTCTGTAGCTCCAGCCAGATACTTGCCACTGATGCTCCAACAGACAAGAGACAAACTAAGGTCACTGGGTGATCCCAGACTTTCTTCAGAATCACCTTCTCTACAATAGAATAAAATAATGCAATTGAAAAAGGGCGTCTCCTTTAAGCAGACAAGAAAACATAGAATTAATGAAATATCCGAGTTAAAATCTGGAGTCTTCCTGCCATCACTGCAGATTTCTGTACTAATTTTTTCTGCTCATACTTCTATATTCTATTTAAAACCACTTCAAATTACAGAATGAGATACCAGTTATTTCCACAGTAAGAAATTTGAAGTTACGTTTCAATTAGAAAAATAAGTTTAATTATCTTTAACTTTACCTATTTATATCTCATATTTAACAACTTTGGTGAGGGCAAAACTTTCTAGGAAATCATGAAACAGAGTAGCTCGGACAAAAGAAATGAGAGGTACATCTTGCTTTCAATTCTAGCTTAAACTCTTCCTCCTGTTACAATGTTGTTACACTGTTCTAAAATTCTATTTTAAAGTTTGCTTTGGCTAACTGTAATGGGAACACTGGTATGTTTTATTGCCCTTAAGGTCATAAACGACAGGAACAGTTTTTACTGATTTTAGTAGCAGGGAAATGAAGGCTATAAAATTGCCAAGATGCACATTGTAGGCCAAATACTGCATCACCCTGTATTTTTGAAGATACAGGAGGCATACCTTTGGTGTGTTGTTGCTTAAGCAGGAGACATTTAATTTGTGAATACAGCAGGTAATGGGATGTTGTAACTATCATTAACAACATTAACTTACTAACACAACACATGTAACAATATTAACACAAAAAGTTAACATAACAGGTAGTAACACTGTATCAGGGAATAGTAATCTAGTAGCATTTAAATACTGTTCCTCTGAACTCAGAAAAACGAAGTACTCTCACAGAGAGAGGAGATAATTCTATCAAAAAGAAGGGATAATGTCTTTTCATCTGGTCATCTCTAAGGGCTAAAAAAATAATTCTACCTTTAAAAATGAACTGGCACTTACCCACTACAAAAAAGAATACAAATAGAATTGTATGGTATTTGTACTTAAAGTCATTATTGAGATTGTTAGCTATGAAGTCCATGAAAGTACTGAATTCTGAATCTACTGTACAGGAAGCACACTTTTCTGCCACATGAATAATAGAAGAACAATGTTCACAAAGAAGAATTATGCTCAGTTCCTGAATCCCAGGAGTCACAAATCCTTTTTTCACACTTGACTCAAACCACCACACTCATAATTATCATGTTATACGCTGGAACTGTCCACTGGAACCCACTGAAGGGATATTCAAATTTTTTTTTTGTATGACAGTCCCTTACAGGTTTAATTTTACCCATTTCTCATTATATGAATTAATTAAGAATATCTTTAAACAGCTTTAACATACTTAAGTTCTGTTTTCAGTTTTAAGGTATTTAATTTACTTTGTATGTCATAAACACAGCAACAGTCCCAGAAAAAACACGAGAGAATATCTGTGCAGGAGATATTGCAGGGCTGGGTCTTTTCATTATCATGCACAATTACAGCTTAAATTAAATACCTGACTATTATAAAGAATCAACTTACAGCTTGTTGAGCACACACGTTTGTTGCAATGAATATTGCTTCTTTGTAACATTCCACACTCTTATGGTGCCATCATTTCCACTAGTCGCCAAAAGTCCCTTTTTATTGCACCAAACACATGTCATAACCTACAAATACCAAAGTAGTCATGGCAAAACTAGAATTTAAATCTAAAGCTTAGGTATGTTTGTTCACTAATATTAAGCAAACATTAAACTATGGGACAGAGCATTAGCTACACTATTGAAATACACCATAACAATCAAACAAGGTATATTTTTCTACTCTTACATACTGTGTACTGTAATTAAGCATGCATTATAAGGATACTACACTTTGTTCAGACCCATGCTCCACAGGCCACTATCACTCAGAATACCGGAGAAAGATGTCAACTACTATGACAGAAAAATTAATGCAAATTAAGATCTACTCTAATAAAAGATTTAGGGTGATTCTGCTGATTTCACATAATGCAAGAACACTTCCATGTCCCCTTTAATTGAAGCTTCAAAGAATCTAAGCCTTTTTCTGCATCAGAGATACCCTCAAGCAATAACTTACTTTATCACCAAAAAATTACTTCTTGTGGGAAATCATTTCAGTCAGTATATTTGTAAAATAACAGTATTTTACTTTTTCTGTATTCTACAAAAGAGAGTATTAAAATTCATGCACTTTTGGGAAAAATCATGCTTACCCTGTTCTGATGAGCCTCTAATTTTATGAAGGAACATTTTCGTAAGTCTCCCCCCATATCAGCGAGGGTCTGAGGAATAGTTTGATTATCTCGATCGTGTGCTGCAAGAGTTCGCACCAGCTGCTGAGCAGCCCACTGCCTATGTTGTGAGGATAACCTTGAAGAGAGGCAGCAAGCTGCTAGTGCATTAGCCAGCTCCAGAGGGCCTACAGCAGAAGGATCATAGGAAGGATGGGCATACAAATGGGCAATTAAACCTGCTTAAACAAAACAATGAGATGATGCCTAGATGAGTTAAAGAATTACACAAACGAACACAGCATTAGCCATAATTTCCAGAAAAGAAGAAATAGATTAACAAACATCTTATAAGAACTTTGCAATCACGTTAACTCTTAGAAAAAACACTCTTCTGATACTAAGAGAAAAATACCCCCCTTTAAAATTTCACAAAAAGACCTTAAGAATAGTATTACAGTAGTCTTATTCCCACCATATGGAAAATGTTTGTTCAAAGGGAAGGGCTTTCTGAAGAGGAAGATGCCTCCTCTGACAGAGATAAGCTTCTGTCACTGCTATGTCCTTCCCTCCCTTTAACACAGCAACACCCTGCTGTTGAGGCACAGCAGTTGCTTTTTGGCTCCCTGACCGCTCACAGCAGAGGCAGCACAACTTTCTGCAGAGACAGAACACTACTTTGGTGGTAGCAGTCAACTGTTATTCCCCTTAATTTCATTAGGTGGCACAACCGAGGCTGAATGTCTTAGCTATATGGCTTTGCATACACACACGTTCACATTTTTTTTGAAGTGGCAAAAGATGCAACTAAGTAGTCAGATCATATTTCTAAGTAAAATTTGTGTACTAAACCATAAGATTACTTTGATTAAAACAAGTTTTGTACATTTTTGAGGGTATATTTATTTATACATTATTCTAGGAAGTCTCTCCTTAATACAGATGAGGAATTGAAGATTTAATAACATTTTAAAAAAAGCTACATCATACCTTTCTTTTCAATTTCTGCTTTATCATAATTTGGTCTCAGTTTGGCCCCTTTGTCTGCCAACAATGCCACAAGTGCTTGAGTAACCACAAAATTCGGAGATGTGACAAGTTTGTTTTCTTCTGCAATTCCTCTTAAAAAACCTGGCAAAAATTTTCGCTGAATTGGATCATCAACTGTTGTCAAGTTTACACCAGTTGCTGCAGAAATCAAGTTCTAAAAATAAACAATTGAAGACAATAAATAACGAAAACAAACAGAAAAAATCAATTTTGGAAAACATTTTTAGTTGAACAAGTCATGCAGAGTTTTAAAGATTTTCAACTTTTTTTTTTCAGAAATTCATGCAGAGTTTTAAACATTTTCAACTTCTTTTTTTCAGAAATTCTCTGTTCGCAACCACTTTTATTTTAACAGGCCAAGATCATGTACAATACAGAAAAGTCTTCTGCCCTGGGGAATACCCAATTTTAATGGAACCAACTATCCAGATCCAGGGATTTAGTGGGGGGTGGGGGGGAAGTATCAAGTAACTAAGAATACCAGCAAGAACTAAGGAGCTTCCAGGAACTTCCAGAAGAGCTTTTTATAGAGATATGCTCCTGGTGGTAGGATAAAAAGCAGTAGCACATAATAAAATCCATTATCCCATCCAACACTCCTATTTCTCCACAATTATATTTCAAACTCAAAAGAACAAAACAGTTACTCTGTTTAGAAGTTTCCTGATACATATGAAATCCTGCTGCATGACCACAGCTGGAGATCACCTCTTTCTAAATATAAACAATCTGTGCTCCACATAGAGTTAACTCCAAAAATCCCAAAACTTTAACAGAAAAACCCTATCAATACAAAAAGCACATCTATTTTTCTCCACTTGAAAAGAGTACTCCGCAAAAAAAAAGTAGTTACTTGATTTTTACCAACAATAAACATACCCTTGTGCAAAGCCATGAACAAGAACTCTAAGGAGATCCTCAAACTGAGGGCAGTCTCATCACAGTTCAGAAGATAAAAGCACAAATTCTCAATATGTACAAAATGGATTGCTTCATCTCATTTATAAGTAGTTTAACATAAATATTTATTTTGAAGTAACAGTCCTACCTGTGTACATAACTGTACCAGCAGTTTTGCAGCACTAGGAGTGTTTGATGCCAAACAGCCTACTGCTGTACTCAGATAGGCAAGACAAGATATAGGCTTGCTTGTTTTGCTGTGTATTCCTCTAGATCGCTCTGCTGAACTTGACACAGTGGATGGACTTGTGGAGAGGCCTGCTCTCCCTGCTGCAGCGAGGCACATTAAACGAACCAAAGTTCTGATATCTGTTAATCCCAAGGATTCGAGACCAGCTGCCAGGCTACAACTGGAACCACTGTCAAAAATAAATACAAATGCTCTTGGTTTTGTTAGTACATTTTAAAATAAAGTTATGTTTGGATAAAACTATTCCCAAACCCTTAGTGAATACTGCCTGTTTGATTATCTGGACATTGTTACCATGCAGCGGAAAGTGGAAGAAAGAGAAATGAAGCTACATTTCCTTTACTTTTCTCTTTAAGCTGAAGACAAAAACACATTACAGACTTGCCCTAGCAAAAATCCATGAGTTTACCTGGAATCACTCATAAACCAAGTTATATGGGTAATTCATGTTTAGAGTTATGCTATGACAATATGCACATGTACATGTCAGATCTCTGCGATGTCTTCATAGTTGCATGGGTATTTTGTACAAAGCCAGTTTTTAAATCCTCGTATCCCATCAACTCCTTCACTTCATCTTCTTTTCTCTAAAGTTTACATCTATGTTCTAAACTTGCCTTGAACAAAAACTCACCGACAAACACAGCATCTTTATGTTCTGAATGGCTGATACTACCGGAGTCCACTTTCCATACAAGATGTAGAATTTTCTTTCATAAAGTTTGAAGATAGGGTTCAAAAGAACAAAGCCAAGAGAACTTTTTCTTTTAATAGTATGGTGTAAGTACGTAAAATGAGAATCACTTTCCCAAATAGCTTAAAACTGCATCCCTATCAAACATAACTTGATAACTGGTTCCAAATGGAAAGGTGGAAGTGTTGCCAAGGATGCCACAAACCTGACAGACAAAAGTGAGAGCGCTCTCATAACCATAGTTCTTGCAAGGAGGACTTGGGCGGCAGCTGTCACTCTTCTTAGAGCCATAACACGGTCATGTGGGTTTACTAGGGCAGCTGCTTGTTCTCCTAAGGTTATCCTGCCAGAAGAACTTTTTTCTATAGAGCCATGACAGCCTTGGAAACAATGATGATTTGCATTAGTGTTTAAAGAAAACCAAAACATTATCATATAGTAATAAGCGCAGAAGCAAATTTGGCCCAAGTTTGCAAATTACTCATTAATTTTTTCAGCATTTCATACATACAGAACTATAGTGATAATAATCATGGTAAATACACTCCCAAAATACACTCCATAATTTAATTATTCCTTATTTTCAAAGGCAGATAAGCACAACTTGACAATACTCAAGTTAATGTTAATTCCTCCGTTTCCCTTTTCCATTAGAGAGGCCTACAAACTTACATATTGATCCTGCATTTCAATAGGCTGGTCAGTAAGTCCCAACTTAAATCCACAAATCCATCTTTGAGTTCTGCAAGATATGCTACTGGCATCTACTGTAGGACTATGGTTACAGTTTTATTAGTAAATCAAAGCTTCAAGCCCTCTGCCAATATAAACGCCTCACACCGCTTTCTCTAACTTCCCTATAATAAAGGCACAATTTAGAACCCTGTCTTCACTTTCTCATGGTGGGAGGCAGGAAAGAGTGTCAAAATATTTCTGCATTGCCCCTGTAAAATCACATGAAAGGAGAGGTATTTGTTTTTTGAATGAAACTCATTTCAAATTTACCTATTTGCATCAATGTTTCTTCCATACTGTTGGTGGCTGTCACCATTGCAACTGAAGCACCCAGCGGGTCACTGTCAGGGAACTGTACAGGTTCAGGTACAATACGTCGATCGTTTAACCCAAGTGGTCCAGCCAGTAATTCAAACTCCTCTTCTCCTGTCAGCTTTTCATCTTCATCTACATCTAACATATCCCAGTCTTCTAAAATTGGAGAAATATAATTAGACTTGGTTACAAAAGCTAAAACACTAAACAATTTTAATTAATTAAAAAACCAATACAGGATATAAAATGTGTATTGTGATCTGCAACATAGTAGTCTTAAAAAAATCATCTTCTGATGTTCACATAGACACAACATAGTAAATCAGAAAAACAAAATCCTGCTCTTGCCCCCCTCCATTAAATTTGATCTTTATTTATAATGCAGAGAAGTTTCATGGAAAATTCTCTGAAGCATCAGCCTAGCTGTTTTTTTTAAAACACAGCTCATCACATCTAGCACAAGACAACTCCAAAACCTGGAATATAGTGAAAAGCATAGACATACAGTTGTACTTTAAATCATGGTAAGAGGTGCATATTCCAAAGGACTCAATAGTAAAGACAGATACTAGAAATTTCTGGTCTTCACATTTATCAAAAAAGTATGCATGAGTTCTTAGGTCATAAGCGTACACCCAGGCTTTTGCTTTTCCTTCCTGGGGAGTGGGCGGACTATAATTGCAATTCAGTTACGCATTCCATTCACTTCCCAACCATTTACAGAAAAGTCAGCTTACATTTACTGATCCCTCCTGCTCTGCCTCACTTCCCATGCAGTAGAATCTGAACACCTTTTATCTATTGGAAGATGGACTTGCTGTTAAGTTCTGGAGCACTCATTTACTCTTAAATAGACAAGTGTGGTAAATCACACAGTTGTGATCATACAAGCTACAGAAAGGCCCAGGATCAAAGAAGCATCCGGGAAAGGTTTTCTACAATCACTAGAAGTAATCTGTTTAAAGTGAAAGCCATCCTCAGGATGCTCTCAGCTAGTAGAAAGGTAGAAAAAGTAATAATAAGCTTAATGGTGGACTTTTGAGACTCTAACTTATGCTAATTAACTTCTCCAACAAAAGGCAGCTGAAGAAATGTATTTGAACATAAGGCTCTGTACGTGCAGTTCTGGATATAATACCTATCCACAGTACCTTATCACCCAAAGTTAAGTATTTGCCATTTCAGCTACTTACCTGAAAGACATGGGAAAAAATGCCACTGATCTTTTTTCCATTTGAACTAGAAAAAAAATATTAAAATACTACATCTGGTCTGAGGAAGATTTTAAAGTATACCTTCCTGTACAGTTTCATGACAGGTTTAATTGCATGGAAGTATCATTATAGAAAAATAAAACACTCTGCAAGTGCGAAGTATTTAATATCTTCAGCAGCTTAAAAACATACCTTCATAGACACTATCTTGTTTACCTATTAAATCAGGAGCCTGGCCTTTGTATCTGCATGAAAAAATAACAAAGAAAACAACTGAATGGATCTAACCACTTACATATATGCATAATAATCTTAAATTTGCTCTACTATTAAGTTACTTCACTGTTAGGACAACGTATATATGATTTCTGGAAACAGCTAGTACCAGAGAGATTAATAAAAGGGCTTCTAAAAGTGTCTGTGGAGATGGGGGAAGCATTTTGCAGTACTAATGTGAGAAAGGCCTGTAAAAAATACTGGAATTGTCAGCAAAAATTGAAAAAGGAAGTTTTCAAAAGTCAACAAGAGTAGGCCACATCCCAAGAAATAATTCCTTGTTTTTCATTTAAGAAATAGAAATATCAAGACATCCTTTTTTCTAAATATGCATTTGTTGAATACAGAAAATTATTTTAAGCCTCAGTTAAATTAAATAAAGACATGTTCTGTTAGGAATTTTAGCTTCTTCAATCAAATTCTTAAAATGCTGATGCTAGTAAACATTTTAAAGTTGTTTCCTTTCTTTACACAGAACATTCCACCATCTTGTACTTCTGTACCTTTCAGAAGTTGACGTCTTAGATTTACTCTTCAGGGCTAAGTATTTCTCTCTGCAGATGCCGCACAATAAATAGTAAGGATTTCCACTTCCACATTCACCACCAAACCATCCATCTACATAAGAACCATTGCTACGATAGCCCTGGCGATTTGCACTACGACCACAGCCTGGGTGGTTTCTTTTCATGTGTTGATTGAAGCTGACAACACTGGATTCACACAGTTCACACACCACTACTTCTTCTCTGTCTTCAGATTCACAAACATGCTGCAAAATAAGATTTTCACATGTTATTTGTACAGAATAAGTATCTTCATATCAGATATAAAATAGGCCAATATTCTCAAGGTGGATGTTCCTACCCATTTCTGTTACACACACAGAATGATATTTATGTGGTTAACTTGCACAAAAGCAAAGCAGAAATAGACAATTTATAACATAATGAAGAGCAGACCCTCTCAGAACAGGAAGAACATTCAGAAGTAAAGTTTCAGAGGATGAGATTTTTCCTGTTTCATTTCAGATCTGACTCAAAGTTCTTGGAAGTATAACTTTTCACACGTATCTCTGCTAGTTCACATTCAATGCTGCCTTTAAGTTACCTGGTTCTCCTCAGAATTTGACTAGACTAGATCCAACAAAGAAAAAAGAATAATTTTTTCCAGACAATTGGACTTTACATTTACTGAGCAACAATAATTATCATTTGTATCAATAAATTCCGAGGTTTTGTCTGAATATAAAGGTCATTTTTCTATAATTACATTACTGTGCTGAGTCAGTAAATTTGTTGTGATGTTCTAGTGAAACAAGCTCTCTGAACAGTTCAATATGCATACTGAAACTTGCTTCCATATCAGTTAGGTAACATCGTAATTAAGAGAGGAAAGCTTAGTCTTGTGGGTTGCTTGTCTAATTTGACATGGATAACCCAAAGATTAACAAGCTGCTGTTATTGTATTTGTTTTCCGCCTCAAACGTATTTTTAGTGGGCTATACAACAACTGAGTGAGGACTGTCACCATATCCTTTCCAGAGAATGAAATACATGACATGACTAAATTAAGAAAAACTGATTTAAGTGCAAATTATTTTGCTACAGATAAGATTTTTTTATTATTATTATTACTACTACTACTTCAAATAGAACAAACATTTACAACTGTGTTTGTTATCACACAGCTAAGCAACCTGGAGCACCTACTTGATTTCTAAGAGATATCATAAAAAAATATATACTACACTAGTTCCGTTCTCATCTTTCAGGGAAGGGAGAAGAAAAACTATGTACAGGTAGAAGTGCAGAGCAAGAAACACAAGAAAGCACTATTCTTAATCTAAAAGTGAAGCTACAGAATACAAGAAGATTTTAAGCATTGCTGGCATTTAGTAAGAAATCTTCAAACAGGCTATAAGCATATGCATGTTACTTTAAATTTAAAAATATAAACATGCAAAAAGCAGTAAGTTAAAGCAGCCCCCGCTGCAGTCACACACACCCAGGTAGGCCAATCCAATACCTCTGGGATCCACATTCCCAGAATATCATTATCACTAGCAAGGTCTTGCCCAAACATAGCTTCCATTGCTTCATCATCAAGGTCAATTTCCAGCTCCTCATCCAAGTTGAAGTCATAAAGCACCCCTGGATCTTGCTGCAAAGATATCCCTTCTCTTCGACTCTGATTCCTGTGGGCCTGTACAGAGCGGTATAATCCCGCTCAAGTGAAAAAAAAAGAAAGTAGTATTTTTATTTTGCATGTAATAAATATGACTGTACTTTCAACTTCCTTTTGCTTTGTTTTTAACTCTTCTGCTAAACATAATCTATTTATCACCACATAAAACACTTAAGTTATATATACACCGATACACTGAAGGAGAGTTTTGTAAGTTTCATGCTAAGTACCAATTCCCCTCCTCTTCATTTACTGGATAAGTGGAAGTCTTTCAGTATACTTACCAGCACGTGCTAGCAATGTTCGGGCAGCTAAATCAAATTTGTGTCTTCTTGTTACAGCTGACCGACTTCTAGAAGGATGTCCACTTGCAGAAGCTGCATTATCCGCCTGATCCATATTATCAGGGCTACAAGAATTTGTAATTTACAGGTAAATCAAATCTCATTTTAAACAGCCACATACAGTAAGGAAAAGTACTAAGATCATATTTACTGGCTTTTTTTTTTTTTTTCTTTCTTTCACAGAAGGAAAAAAGGGAATTTGGAATTCAAAAGTTTTCAGTTCAACTGCAGCACATATTTACTGTCTTTTTGACTGTGAGATTTACCTCAAACAAATTAGATTCAGCAACATCAACACCTATTCAATGCTTCCATAGTGCCTAAGCACTGCAGAAATTTTGGGAGAGCACTCATTTTATGCTGTCAATGTTAACTGCAGCTCAAACTAGGTTTCTTCTCCTTTCTAAAAGAGAAAAAAGCCAACATCTCTGTTGTTGCTGCCTCAATCATTCCCTCTTTTGCAAAACATGAATTTAAGTTACTTAGTAACAGTTGTTGCTTAATTTTTTTCTCCCGACTAAAGTGAGTTCTCTATGAAATGACAGTTTACCTGGGACAAAGAAACTGAGGAAATTTAAAAATGCATATCTCAGTAGAATTGAGGAATCTGAGCAAAAGTGTTCTCCAAATACATCCTGTAATTGTCATCCTCCCTATTAACAAAAAAGCTGGTATGATTCCTAATAGGTGTCACTTAAAAATGTAACCACTACTTTTAGGATTAAAAACAAAACAAAAGAAAACCAACCACCTCTCCTCCTAGTTTAATAGATAGTGTAGATCTAAGGTTGTGAAGGTGCTGGAGAATGTAAACTTCAGTTCAGTTTCATCCTCTCTGGACAAACAATTAAGTTAAAAAGAAAAATGTAGAAAAATACCTGTTCATGAATACACTGGGGGAAAAAACCCCCAAAACTCCAATGACATTTTGCTTTATTACTAGGTCTTTTAGGTAAAGTGTAAGCTATATACCCTTTTTTTTTTTTGTTCCTCCTTCCTCTTTTTTTGAGAGGGAAGGATGATCAGTTACATTCTTCCCCAGTTCTGTGCACAAATGGTACTGGAAATAAATGCACCACATACACATAATTTAATTGCATCCTTGCTTTTACTCATGTTGCAACAAAATTCAAAAGTGGCATTACAAAGTAATGGCCTGTCAGCCACAATGAACTTGTGAGATTTTCAGTTTCAGCAACAGATTACAAGCAATTAGAAGAAAGTTACATTTTACCTTTCACTAAAGCCTTCCTCCATTTCAGTGGCATCAGCAGAAGGGATATCACCTGGTGACTGCAAATAACAATGATCACCAGATTTTCCACCACTTCCAGCAACTACTGTCCCATGTCGTGACTCTGCAGTCCCTTCCGACTGGGGCTCTTCATCATCTTCATTTCCAGGGTGCTCTATCATCCACATGGCCAGCACTGTGATATTCTGTGCATCTGCTTCTCCTCTGGCACCTGATAGCAGCAAAATCACCCTTCAGAATTGTATTATGTCATTGACAGTGAAAAAAAAAAATTTTTTCCCCCATAAGTGGTTACAGAACCATATAGAACCGTACAGAAGTTAAGTATTCCAGTGGAAAAAAGTGTTTCGTATTTAGGTAGTTTTTCAGTTTAAACTGATGTTGTAGTTATAGATTACCTGTAGCTTCCATAGCTTTTGCAATCTGCCTGAGGGAGAACCCCATTTCTAACAATGGAACAGCAATGGCAGGAGGAGGAGGGGACGTTGAAAGTCGGCTGCTTGGATCAGACAAAGCTTAAAAGACAGAAAATGTTAAATGTAAAGTGCATAAATCTTCTTTAGTGTTACTTTGCTAGACCTTACTTTGATATACTAGCTTCAAATAAGGGAAATAATTGCCCTTAACAACTTTCCCCTCTATTACTTTCCACAAAGTAAGGTACTTTCTGTAACGAAACCAGACGGTGTTTGTTCTTTTTGGTAACATATGTATTATGTAAGCTTCTGTTTAATCAAGTAGGATACTGCTGATATTTCTATTTTTTTAAGATATTTCTAAGAAGTTTATTTCCATTTAAAACTGTATCAGATTATCTATTTGATTTATATTTAGGTACACTGGATAAAGTTATCCTTGTCCAAATCATCAAGATTCCCAAATGTTATGAGATCACACTAATACACATTCTCCTTAAGGTACAGAAAGAGATCTCAACTAAGCTGGTGACATATCTGAAAAATTTCTTTGCAGATGATGGCTGTATTTCTATGGAAAAAGTCTGTCAGGGGACTGTAATAACGTCAGTTATGGCCCAAAAAACACCGTTTCCTTATCGTTTGCCATAAAAGTAAGGTCTGATCAATGAAAGCATCAACAATGTACTAACAAGCACTGTTGTAAAGACAGTATCATGACCAAAGGCAAGTAATCTCATAGGGGGGGGAAAAAAAAAAAAAAAAAAAAAAGAGAGATGTAAAACTGAGCAGACAAGTTGCTATGCAACAAATGAAACAGCTAAAAGACCCAACTAATAGCATGGATATAAGAGCAAGAATAAAAAGGTGTATCAGTAAGGAATTTTAAAGCATGGACTTTGTTTCTCAGCACTGAGTATGAAATCTAGAGAACATACTTTATTTAACTCAGTCTCTTCTATTCATTTAATACAAAACACATACATGTGGACTTGTATTTTTCTTTTTAGTATTATCTCCTTTGCATCACAATACTCATTTGTGCTCTTTAGAAGCTCAAGATTCTCACACAACAGTTTGCTCAGCCTCCTAGCTACTCCATTCTGTTTGTACACTGGAACAGAGCAAGTTTCTGTTTTGAGTAGTACAGTGCAGGCAGTAATAAAACTTCTATGAACAGAAGCCTCCCATTACCTTCATATGATTCCAGACAGCAGCATGAGGAGCCCATGAAGGCTGGACAGCCCTTTCTATCTTGTTAAACAAGGTTAATTGGAAGGAGCTATACTGGTGTATGTATCATAAAAGTACACCAATTCTTGTTTTCTGCATGGTACATGATCTAACAAAAGCTAGAAAGTCAGTGCAGTAAACTGTGGCACACAACCAAGGAAATAAGCCCAAATCAGACTAACATTTTGAAGTAATTACCAATTATACTGCATTCTTGTTTTATGCATGTAGTTTGTAATCCATTCCACAGCTTTTAAAAACTAATTAATTTGCTTGATAAAGACTACAGCTAGCCAATCTACAGCTTTTTGTCCTAAGATAGTAATTAAAAGGTTTTCAACAGTGCTTTGCATGTCAGGCTGCATTAAAGAGAAACCCTGTTGGTTTTCAATGTCTTAAAAAACTACACTGAACTTCTGCAAATTTACTAACCTGTCCACATTTCTATCTACATTGACTACAAGTTTACCGGTACGATTGGCAGGCCTTGCAGACTGGGAATCAGGAGAAGTTAAACTTTGTCTCCTTCCAACTTCATCTGAAGGAGATGTTGGTAAAGAAGATATTGGAGGAGTCTGAGCACGTCGTGCTGGAAGTACAGTTGTAGTAGGATAACTGGAGAACATTTGCCTTTAAAAAAGAACAATATACATTTATATTAAAAAGAGCTATGCTGAAAAAGGTCTGACACAAGAAAAACATCCAATTAGAGCGTACTTGGCAAGTCACGCTTTACCACAATTGAGCTTTTTATAAGGGCAGGGCACAATACATACATTGGGGCAGGCAGGAAAACCCTGTTGGAACAGCTCATTCCTACCACCTTTGCCTGGAAAGTTAAATTCTAAGTATGCACCTAAAAAAACCCCTCACAGATCAAGAACTGTTCTAGGACATAAAAGAGAAATGAACACTCTTCCCATTTCCCCACTTTGTTCAGAACTCAGCCTGACTAACATATCAGGTGACTATTTTACTTTCACTGTCCTGGTAATAGGACATTGTTCTGGCTTTTGTCAAATTATATCTGCAAAATCTCTAAGAACAGAGGTCAGATACATCAACAGAATTAATAAACTTAGAACAAGACTCTAGTCAATGTAAAGCAGATTTCCTTCTACATTACAAATAGCCTCTGCAGATTAACTACCTTTATCTTACTTCCATTTCAGTATGTGAGGGTAGGATGAAATGAGGTCTTAGCTTGAAGGATGTTACCTACAAACTAAGATCTACTCTAGTTTGAGAATCAACAACTATTTGTTAAAAACACAGAATTTCAGAGATTTTTTATTTAAACTATACCAAACAAACATGAGAACCGAAGGACAACATAAGGAAGCTATTTTCTTCTGTCTTGAAGAATTCAGATGTTACATATATAAACAGTGTATATTAAAAACTTAACAGCTTTTTATTTCTAGTAACACATGTCCTGCAAAGTAATGAATTAAACTCTGTCCTCTGCAGAGGCAGTTCTTGACAGTAAATGCAAACATTAATATTTTCAAAGGCTGTTGTGGTTTAACCCCAGCCAGCAACTAACCACCACGCAGC